ATATTTATTATTATACAAGTTCAAGATTAGAAAGTGAATCATTATTTGTGCTTGATCATGAAGATGAATAATAATATACAATACTTTGTACCAATTGATCCACATGTTCGTTCATATCAATCACTTCAACGGTGAAATTGCATAAAATTTATTTCTTTTTGTTCATTTTTGGTTGACATTAAGCAAAAAAAAAAAATCTTATGTTTACTGTCATTCTACAAAATCAATAAAGTATTAAAATAATTCTATAATATCTTAAACCATTTATTAGTGTAAGAAAATAAATTTAAGATTTATATAATTTTTTTATAGAATATAAAATATAAATTATATTTCTCAATTTTTGTATCAAAATCATAAACTTTAAATAAAATGGAAAGAAGGAGTTTTCTTTAAGTTTAAGAACTTCAGAGCAACTCTTATTAGAAAATGATTTATGAAAAAGTAAATAAATAAATTTTTCCAAAGAAAAACCGTGAGGCCTTCATCCCCCCTTTTTTTTTCTGGTTTGTTTTTACATATTTTTTGGAAAAAATTTTACATGTTTCCAAAATGATTGTGCTTGGATTCTCCAACTCATCAGATTCAATCACCATTTGGAAATTGCTTCTCTCTAGTTGTATATATACGATGGAGTGTGATGATAACATACAATATTGATAGTTTGATATACGTTAAAACTAAAACATTCTAATATCTAAGTCAGCGTAAATGAACTTTACTTAATACTTTCAATGCTTTTGCATTTCAATAATAATAATAATAATAATAAATTTTATTTCAAGAGACATAGATTAGCTGAATTTTACTTACTTATTAAACTCAAAATATATTTAATAAAGATATTCCTGTAAAAAAAAAAAATTTAAGACATAATAAATTAAATCTTTTAAAAAAAATAAATTAATATGAAAATTTATGTTCAATAATACAAGTAGTACGGGTAAGTAATAAGAATTAAGTACTTGTCCAAAAAAAAAATGGCAGAACTTAAGTCTAACTTGAGTGAATTATAGACATGTGAATGTAATATTCTTATAATAATAAATTTGAGTTTAATTTAATTTTATAAAATTGACTTATAAAATGAGAGTTATTTTTTATTTATATATTATTTAATTATTTGATATTTAATTAATGTGAAATTTAAAATTTTCACAATAAATACAGTCAACGTATGTAACAAACACTGATTTTTGAGCCAATGACAATTTGCCAGAATATTTCAAAAATTCGCGTGAGAATCGAATCTTTTATTTTAAGCCAACCCCACACGGACATTGGACAATGTGTTACAAAAAGCCTTAATGGGCCTTATCTGAGATTGAAGTAAGTTGATGGGAGCTGCTATTCAGTATTCACACATCTCTTTCATATTTTTTTATAAATATTTTTAAAAAAATATTTTCTGAAACATTTTTTAAAATATATGGTTCAATACTATGATATAAATTAAATTTATATCATTCTCTATTTGAGTTGAGCTCTATTTAACAATCATAACAGTTAACACAAACCAAACTACTTAATGGGGTCAAATATTTTTTTTTGTACACATGATTGTAAAAAGTTAAAATTATTTTATAAATCTAAAAATATTATGGTATAAAATGAAATTAAATTTCAAAGTAAAATATTTTAATTAAATTACGTTTTTTCAGAAAATGATTAATATAAAATCATCTCAATTTCAAATCTAAATAATGATATTTTAGACTTAAGTTAATCAAATTTTATTTAATAAAATATTTTTAAAAATATTTTTTTTCAAATTAATTAAAAATATTTAAAGTGATATCTACAAATTTAAATTTATAATATCTATAAAAAAAAATAATACATTAATTTTTTTTTAAAAAATTCCAAGTAAAATAAAATCAAGTAAAAATACTAATGATAAATACTTAATATATATGATAATTTTGTATCAATGTCTATTTATATGCAAAAAGTGCGTACACGTTCTTCTTCTTTCTAATTCTCCTTTTCAATTTCCCTAAATTAAAAAAAAAAAAAAAGTATACCATGCTCAAATGAAAAATAAAATAAAATAAAAACTTAGTTAGTAAACATGATTATGATCATTAAATTGTTCCATTTTCTTGAAATCACTACATAATAATATATTTTAAATCAGATTAAATTACACATTTAAAGAAAATTATAGAATATAAAATCATCCCAATTTGAATCTATGCGTGGAGATGTAAAAAATGATTTAAGTAATGAATAATTAATTTAAACATATTGCATATATATACATACATAAAATAATTTTTGCCCACCTGAATATAAATTTAATAGGTTCTCATACTTCTAACTACTCTAACTCCCACCCAACTACTAGGTTAAACCTAGTGGTTATGTATTAAGGGATTAATCAATAATTCTAACCTATGTTGTCAAATAAAAAAAAATTCAAATTAAAAATTTGTTAAAATTTAATATTCCTAAAATCATGTTTCGGGTTTTTTGAAATTACGGTCAAAGTGCATTGATAGCAACATAAAGTATGTTCAACTCAAACACCCCTTTAAAATATATTCATGTCCCTCCTTCACCAATTGTTGTTATTATTTTAATTGCATGTTTACAATAATATGTACAATAATATGCAGATGTTAAGCATTCAAATATACTATTGATGCATCTTTAAATTATGATTAAAGTATGCACATCTTTGTGTTTTCTGTCGTCAAATGTTAATCGGTGATGTAATATCTTGAAGGATGCATAAATCCCCTTTTACCGAAACCCATTCTCTTCCATACACCTACTCAATTTCTTTAATAGAAAAATTTTGAATTCAAAATTACATAAAATACAGTGACCACACATGACAATACGCATACCAACTCTCTTTGTTGTAAAAGCACTAACCAAACATAATACCTAAAATACTCTCAAAATAATAAATCAGAGAATGAATAGTACTCTACCATCTTTTACAAAATGTTGAATAATAGATTGATATCCACGTCACGAAAATAAGTTTTGTAATATGAATATAATATTACATGAAACTAATTTATGTAGAATCTAGAAAAGCAAGAAAAAATGAAAGACCATATGAGATGACTTTTATTCTTTGTTTGGGGGAGGAAGATTTAAAGGGAAACGAAAAAAAAAAAAGTGGGAAATAATTTGATAAAATGTTTCTAAAGTCACACCAGTTTAGTCAAGTTGTCGTTATATATAACACGATGGAATACCTTGAATAATATATGCTCTATTGTAATCATGACAACTAAGAACTAAAATATCTTTTTATTGTACTTAAAAAAAAACAAAATAATTAATAATTATAATTTTAGGAATTAATTTAATAATGTGTTGTTATTTGAATGAATGTAATCAAGAGGATGTATTTCTTTCTTACTTACTTTATTCTTTTATTTCTTTATTAATAATTCAATAGAAGTAACAATTCAGTCTCCAATCAATTATTAGCCTTATGTGATTGATTATTTCTTTATTAATCATTCAATGGAAGTAACAATACAGTCTCTGATCAATTATTAGCCTTATGTGACTGATTTGTCATTATTTATCCCGAAAGGAAAGGAAAAGGTGTTAAGCAATAAAGAAATATGAGTATAGTAACCTGTTCGTCTGCATCACACACCCCATATCTTGAATCAACATCCACAATACTGCAACTTGTGACTGTGGTGAAGGAAATATTAAATGCAAAGCAATAATAAAAATAATAAATAGCCCAATTGTATTTCAAAAAAAAAAAAACAAATTCCATAATATCTTTTGTTGGTGGGTTTTAGCCAAATGATCAATTTGAATTCTTGTGAGTTAATAAGTGGACCCAAGAAATTGACTGATACCCTGGATGCCATGCCAGGACCACACCACTGGGAGTACCTGATTTCACATGGAACTGAGCTGAATTTCCAATTTTCCAGCTATTATAGAATGAACCACTTTGTAATTCCCAAATTGAATGCAACCAGGTTTCTTTCTATTATTCAAAATTTGAATGCTAAGCACCCACTTAAGAAAGTGCAACTAATCTATCGGTTTATTTGTTTGGGAAATTTGCATTTTAAATTTGAAAGGGTGCTTTGTGTTTGAGACTTTGCGGGAACTTTCGGCCGAATCGCGTGAAAACAGCGACATGACTTGTTGTTTAGGTAAAAGTTGGTAGACACCATAACCCATTGGCGACACGCACCGTTTTCAACTTCGTCATTTCATGTTTTGATTATGACAGCCTCGTGGGGTGCCTATTAAATGATCTACAATTTATTCAATGTTGCTGCACAACTTGCCCCCCAACATAACCCTATTTTTAATGCATTTCCAGTAAAGTTATCAATATTCAATGGAGTACATTCCTTTTTATTTAATTTAAATTTTCTTTTTTCTTTTTTTACATATTTTTATTATTCATGACATTCTATGAGAATGCATTAATCTAGAAATATTTTTTATAGTATTGTTAATTCATAAAATATCATATACACTTTAAACTAGCATTTTCCCTAATTACTTTTGTTCTACAATGGAGTTTAAAGGGATCGAGAGAAAATAAATAAATAAAACAGTACACCTTTGTCGAGCATATTTTATTTTTGGGTGATGATGAGGATGGAAAAAAGGGGAAATTCTTAACTTCTAGCCTTCATACAATGTATAATAACTTTTACAAGCGATTCCAAACTCAATATCTGTATACCACTTTGTTAACTGCGTTTGCGTCAAGCATTGACTTTTCAGACTCAATTAACGCTATTGTTTTTCAACTCTACATGCGAAATCCACCTTGGAACCTTCTCATGTTTATACCTTACCCTTTAAAATTTAGGAAGCCACTGATTCAATGGGTAGTTAATTTTGATTTGAATTAAGCAATTGACACATAAAACAAAATACAGTAAGACACAGCTAGGCGCATATGACCGGCCTAAGTATAAATAAATTGTACCAAAGCAAATACCAGAATGTGAAATGATTATGGAAATTTCTAAAAAGAAAACAACGAATCATTGAGAGCAGAAAATTAGGAAATTGGTAGCAAACAAGCATCATTCACATGATTGATCAAGAGGTTAAAGCCAGAGCGAACATGGGGAGTAATGGACAAAAACACATTGCCCCACTGAGTCCTTTCCTAGATAACCAGCATCTTAACAACCATCACTTGAACTTGTCAGTCTGCATTCTATTTGTTGCCACACCATGCGCAAATTGCAGCATATTGACAATAGCAATCATTTCAAACCACACAAGAGGTCACATTAAAAAAAGGGGCTATGATATGATATCAATTACCAAATGCTTTGTAAAACATTAAAAATTAGCACAGGAGTCATGTAGAAAAATTAATTTAACATACTATGAAGAAAAAAAAGAAAAAAAAAAAGTAACAGGCCTAATTGTATGGAACTAAAACTAATGCACAATGGATGCCTTTTCAAGGGGTCTCAATGTTGTAGGAGAAGATGCCAATGGAAGAATCTGAGATGAACCTGAAGGAAACTGAGGTAGATATTGTTGAAGCTGTTTTCGTTCGGTGTCTTTGTTCTGAATGATCCTAAGAAAGGACCCATCATGAAAATCTGAGGCTATTGTGTCATTAGGAGGATCTTTAACTTTAACCTCACATTCTTGGACATTTTCTATAGCCTTTCTCCTAGCCTCTTCCATTAATCTTCTATACAATTTCTCTTCCGCGTCCCTCAGGAACTTGAATTTCGGAGGTGGTGAGGATCTAAATCTGTTGTACTCTAACTCTCCTGAAGATTCAAAGAGAGGATTGAATCCTTGGTGCTTGTAAGAATGAAGAGGGTCCAAAGAGCACTTCAAGGGAGAAGAAGCCACAGGGGTGAGAAAAGGGGTGTCAATTGTTAACATGAGATCACTCAAACTTCTTGTTCTTGACCCTTTTCTGCTTCTGTCACCCCTGGATTTACCATCTTCACTCTCCAAATCTTCTTTCGTTTCCTCTTTGATGGGGAAGAGAAACCTTGGAGGACCAGCAAGATTGTGCAGCCTCATCAACTCTGATTCCACACCCTCTTCTCCAAAGGACTTGTGAAGCAAGTCCAACTCCATCCCAAGCTCGAGACTCGTGTTTTCTATGTCCCTACTCACACCCCCTCTATCGTTGCCACCATGCATGGCACAAGGTGTCTTCCAACACCCCCAATAAAACACCCCTTTTGAGTAATTCCCATGATCCATTTCAATATCTATCTGATTTCTTCTCTTCTTCCACCATAAGAAATAGTAAAGCTGAGCACACAGAGCCAGCATGAGACAGCCAAAGACAAGACTTAAAGTGACACTTAACCCACCGAAAGACATGACCCCTTTGCTAGGGAACCGATCTCACATCTTGTTGAAAAGCAATACTAGAAGAGAAAATCAAGCACCTAACTTGATTTTCGCTGGTGATTGAAATTTGAAAGGAAGCTATGAATTTGCTTTGGCAGTTATTAAGGAAGAAAGTGGTGTAGGAAGAAGTAGGCCGTAAGAGGATGGAGCATGCAAGTTGAGGGAAAGGACTAAGGAGTGTGGTTTCATTTATGAAGGTCACGTTGTGAAGATAACATAAGAGACTACTTTAGCCCCCAAACACACGGCTAGGTAGGATAATGGAAATTATTCTCGGAAGGGGGAAAGTGTTACTCTTAAGTTAAGTTTACGAGTCATGACATCATGGTATGAACTATGAAGAGGTGAAACTTTTGCACAAACAAAAGCTAAGTTCTTAAGCATCAAACACGGAACTCAAATTAAATTCAGAGCATAAAAGGGATAAGCAATGCGGGCCGTGTGGTGTGGGCTGAAATGTACGATCGCGGATTGGGTAGACCTCACATGGGCTTTAAGCGTGTGCGTCACTTGTGTTGTGACTTGTCACCGCCGAAACAAGTAACCAAAAATCCAAAACTAACTCACTACAATTTATTTTTTAATATAATAATTCACTACAACTACAAATGCTTGATAATTGTATGAAATTACATAATTTTATTATGAAATCAAATATATTAATTGTATTTTTTAATATCTTACGCTAAAATTTTAATTATAAAAACAAAATGGACCGAGGGTTTAGTTGGCAGAAGGTCGTAAGAATGTTTCTTTTAATGCGAAAGTAAAGAAAAGGACTAAGGAAAAGTGGAATTCATTCGCAACCGTCCTCCATGAGCATGACTTGGTAAAATAGAAATCTTCGGAAGAGAATATCACGAAAACATTTTAGCAAAATTGTGAATTTATTAGAATTGATATACAAAATAGTACTAATGTATTTTTGCCGTATATTTTTTTATAAAAATTTTAATTTATTGATTGGTTAACAAAATTACTTGATAGCGGCTCGCATTAAAAACATAATTATTTGATACTTCGAGCATTTAACTAAACATAATAAATGTTTCCCAATAAATGCTTTCAGAATGTTCATTATTAAAATCCTTAAAGTTATACATACTCATTACATTAGTCAATGCCTTCACAATTGTTGTTTAAGATTTTACACAAGCATTATTATCATAATTAAATAATCTTGATTTTAAGAAAATAAAAGTTTATTAAGAAAGCTAGAAAACTTTTTTTTTACACACTTTTTAGTTTTTACTACGGGATTGTCTATTGTGCGTTCGTAAATACATATTGTGAAAATATGAAATATTTTAAAGTAAATTATATCGTTACTCTTTGAAATTTCATGAATTTGTATAAATACTTTTTATTCTTTGACGCATACGATTATTTTTATTTTTTTAAAAACATTACATTAACATTCATTAGACATTACATTAATTTTTTAAATTATTTTAAAAAATATATTTCACTATAACTATTGTAAACGTTAAAAAAAAAAGTGTCTATATAATTTCATGAAACCTCAATATAATTTACTCAATATTTTATTTAAGATTTTAAATTACTTAAAACAATATATTAAACCATTTTGTGCTCAGTGTAATCAATATTGTTCAGAAATAAATTATACTACATTATTTTATTATTTTCCAACATGTGCTTATAGGCACATAATAAAAATATAATTTATGATTAAATTTTATTTAAATATGCAAAAATATATAAGTTCTTTATGTATCAATAAAATTTACTCATAATATTACAAGTTAAAGTTAAAATAAGTTATAAGTTATTAAAATAAAAATTGTTGTAGTTGTAATAATTATTCACTTTTTTTTATATAGAAAATGATATTTTTATGTTTATAAATAGAATGTCAATAATAACCGGATTTCTTTAAGTAAAATGTTTATTAAAGTAAAATTTTAATGATTATAAGAATTATTAAACTCAAATTATGAAAAATAAGAGTTCAAATCATTTGTCTTATCTTAAAATAGTTTGTAATAATTACTCTACACTCCATTTTAAAATAAATTATATTTAAAACCAGTAACAAAAATAAAATAAAATAAATTTAAAAAGTGAAATAATTTTACTAAATTATTTTTATTATTTATTCTCTATTATTTTAAGACTAACTTTGTTTTTTTACATGTAATGATTATACTAAAGTTTGAATATATCACGGATACTATTTCAACTTCTACTACTTGATCACAATAATTATTTATTTGAATTAAAGCTAATAAAAACCAATAGTTGATTAAAAATTTAAAAGATGACTAAGTATGTAATTTTTATATTAAAATGTTATTTATTTTGAAACAGAGAGAATATTTTGACTTGAGAATTGGCGCCCACAAGGGCAGAAGTCTGCAAAGGGAGCGTATCACAAAAGTTTGGGCTTCGTTTGTGAGGCGTTTGGTTTGACGTATCATTGGGTCCATCACTCGTCAATTGCCCACTGTCAAAGCCTACCATTGCCCAACTTTTTCACTCAAAACAAATAAAAGCCCAATCCTATTTTATTTTACTATTTATTATTCAAAAAGTGAACCTGAGCGCGCCTATAATCATTGTCATTGATCAACAAACATGTCTCTCACCAACAAAAGTATTAAAGAGACAGTGTTGAAATGCAAGTGTGAATGAAATAATTCACATTAAATAGAGATGAGTATAGTGACCAATATGTAAGTAACAAAGACCTAAGACTCATAAATTTGATGTTTAAAAATTTTGGATTAAATTGTGATGTCAATCACTTATTCATGATTCATTGTTGAAATTCTTCCTAATGTTAACCCCTAGTATTCTCGACATGTAGTATTATTAATTACTTAAAATAATTAACACAAAGTTGTTCTTAAAATTTGAATCTGCATGTTATAAAAGCATAAAAATAGAAAATTATCACTAATAAATTTTAAAATTAATTATAAGATGAATTTAAATAATTTTTTCAGAAACATTTATAAGATAAAGAAATATAAGAAAAAATAATTTTTTTATAAAATAAAATTAGTTTATGCACAAATCAAAGAAAAAAATTAATAAAAAAGAACTTTTATAAATTAGTTGATATATAAAATAATTTTAATAGAGTTGCATATTGTGATTGGGTGCTTCTCAACAAAGAGTTATTTACAAAACATAATTTTCACATGGTTAATCAAGTTGTTTGGGACTAGAGTACTATCCTTGTTTATTTATAGACTATAAACATGTTTGAATATAAGCTTTAAAAAGATTAATAACTTTCCTGTCTAAAAAATAATTTATTTTCAGTAAATAAATTTTTAAAAACATGTATACTTTATATGCAAATGGACTCTATATTTTAAGATAAACACCGACTTTGATAACGTTGTCAAAGATTAATCGGATTGAATATTTTGTACCTATATCATTTACTTAAAAAAATAGTGTAAATAGCAATGGAGCGCTTTTGTTTGCATTAAACAGGCAGCAACGTTGTTTGAAAAATAGGAGTTAGTTTGCACTTTGCAGTTTGTCTGTATCCCCCACTCCACATGAAAATGTTTCCACGTAACGTAAGTACCCGTTGTCGAGAACCAAACAATAATAGGTATGGTACGTTGGAGGAGCAGCAACATCTTTTAAAAAGGGCTAGGGAGTGGTCCCATTTTCAAACCAAAATCATCCATCACTTATACTCACTCCAGTAAAATAATTCCAATGGAATGTAGGAATCTTCTATACCATGTGTTTCGATCATATGCTCTCCAAGTTTAATATTTGCTTAAATACTTCTAAAATTTTACAGTTTAGGTGTTTATAAGTTTTTTTACCTTAAATCAATGTGCTAACATAGTCCTACTCCCCATATATATATATATATATATATAACCATAAAGTGAACATCTTTATTTAATCAAACAAATAAAATAAAGTATAGAATTCATATTATATATTGTTTTTATAATTTTCTTGATCAAATTATTAATTATATCTTTTTTTTTCTTTCTATTTTATTTTTATACATAAATTATTATTGTTATACAAAATTAAATTAAGTTAGACTATCATGCATGTCTCTCACATGTTTTTATAAGAGATTTTTAGTAATTCTTAAATGTACGAAAAATAAAATCTTTCATTTTGATAAATTATAGGAATTAAAAATACAATTAAATTTTCAAATTATATGTATCATATATATATATACTATGTTCTTATTAATATTAAATATTAGTAAACTAACTAAATAATTATCAAAATTAGATTTCTTGATGAAAAATATTTTTTAAAAAATTGTATAATTTTAAAAATACTATTTTGTTTCCCTTAATACCTTTCATACCTTAAGTATGACCCAAAATTTTCATCAATAATTAACTATAATTTTTTACAAACGTTGATCAATAAAATAAATAAATAATTAAAACAATAAAATAATAATATTTCTTAATTAGTTTATGAATATAAATATTTGTGGATTTTTTTTCACGTAATTAATTTAGACTTGTTTATTTTTCTCTATAATTATTTATCTTTTTAAGATAATATACACTTATATAGAAATTATTAATTACATAAACTACTATATTAAAACCACTTAGGCAAAATTCTTTTTAAGAAGAGTTAGACCGTAATTGCACAACTAATTAAGTCTTTAGGTAAAATATCAATATACAGAAAAATAATAAAGAAAAATATTTTAATACGAATGAAAACATACTTTCAATTTATAAAATGTTTATATTCCATACAAACACAATAAATTAAATTAATTAAATTCGACTAGTTCTTGAATCAACTAATTAGTAATATCAGGAGCTCTGATGCAGTTGTGTTACATACGGTTCAATTTCATCTCGCAAGTAGGAAAAAAAATGCTACATGTAAAATTCAACACAGAATGCCAAACACGGATATTTTCAAACGTGTCAACTATTTTCTTTTGGTGAATACATGATCTTTATATCATTAAAATAGGTCTGGGTATTACTACGATATCGATAAACTTAAACTTACCACATACTATTAATGAGTTGTTTTGGTCAAATTAAGATACTCAATCACTCACATGAGACGAAGTGAAAAAATCAAAGAACGGTAGGTTTTCAGGATGAGCATCTTCATTAATATGAGCAGCAGAAGATGTATCAATGGCACCTTCACAAAATGAAGCAAGGGATGGCACTTGACTAGATTTTTCTTCCAAAATGCTGGTTGGATGAAGAGGAAAGAGAGTTAAGGCCTTGTGGTTACTGGTCCTACTGTTGTAATCTTGTTGCAATAGTTCATTTCTCTGTGAGCCATCACACATTCTTTGCAACCCAAACGTCACAATGCTTGAGCTAACTCCACTTGCAAGAACCTTTGGTGGTTGTTGAGAATAAAAGCCGGTTCCACTCTGTTGCAAACAATATGGGCCGCAAACCACTGAACACAACAAAATAAACTATATTTGATTCCAAACTCTTGATATAATTAATTGTAAAAGACAAATAAACTGAAGAGACATTGAACTTTAGGTGATTTTTAAGTTGGTTTTAAAACATAGATGTCAAACTCACATACACACAGATGCACACAAAAGTACTGAAAAGTGATAAATTTAAATATACCTCATATTATTATTATGTCTTGCTATATAAATATATAGTCACAGAAAATATAAGTAACTATTATAATTACCTTTCAAAAGTAAACAAACAAACTAACTTGAATTATATTTAACAATATATACATTTATTATAAGAGGAACTTTGTATAGTCTAAATGTTATATTAACAAAACTAGAATCTCATACATCATCTCAGTAACTAGTACATTTTGCATGAAGATGGGAATTTGACTATATATGGTTATGCAAGCATATTAACTATACGATTTATGTGTATTTAAAGACTTCAGAGAAGGAAGATTAATATTGAACCATTTACAAATTGAACCCATCTAGATCACCAAATTCAAATATTATACTAGCTGTTGGATCCCACTAATGATCACATGAACAGCCACGTGATCAACCATAATGAAGATAATGCATGTATAAATTCATTTCAATCAAATAGGCAATAAAAAATTATGCTATATAAATATGTATTACGACAAAAAAAATATGAAATAATAGAGTTGTTGAAGAAACCATTTTGACAAATGGGTTGGGAGGCATGAAGAAAGTGATTGGAAGATCCAACATTTTGTTGCTTCAATTTTAGTTTCTGTCTTTGGCGCGCTTTGTGATTCTGAAACCAATAGAACACATTCTTTCCCTCAATGTGACCATAAGCACTGAGCCTAGTTACAATATGTTGTATTTGGCTAGCATTAGGAGTCCTTATTCCTTGTTTGTACAGATTCTCCAACGTGCTTATTTGCTCTTTTGTAGGGCTCCATCGCGAAACTGAATGGCCTCTCCTTCTCATCTCCACCTCTGCAGCTTCACTCTCCATCTTTCACTTCTGAATTTGTTTGCAGTCTCAAGTAAAGTAGTTTTTGAGAAAAAGAAAATATACTACAGTACTATATAGCAATGCAACTATTGCTTATTAATTGTGACTCTAACTAATTAGAGTGAGTGTAGCAAAGGAAATGGTTGGGAGAGGGAAAGAGAGAGCAATAAGTAATTACGTGCGAATTATATAGTTTTTGGTGCAGAACATTCATAAAAACATAGTGAGTGACGGCTGAGAGAGATGTAGGTTTCATTGTGTTCTCTATTTCCTAAGTGATAATGCTTATTACTTACCTTGGAAACCACAGAGAGTGGTAGAAAGGTGGGTTACACCAATGAAAGAAAGGAAAGACATTGGTTAAGGCGTAGACTTATAGTTGAACTTCGAGAATTGAAGTGAGAGATGATTAAAGTTGAAAGGTTTAGTTAGCAATTACAGTGTTTAGATAGTAATAGTTAAAATTCCGTTCAGCATAAAAGTACATATTCTATTGCAAAAAAAAAATTGTAAATATAATTACTATTTTCAATCTTAATTGAGTTCAGTTAAATTCAACTTATTCTCAAAGAGTTGTTGGGTGGTAATGTGCTAATCACACAAGTTATGAACTGAGAAGAGTTGTTGGGTGGTAATGTGCTAATCATATTCACAGTGGCATGTTTAAAATAAGAAGGGGATCATATACACTTTTAAAATGTCTTTAAATAATTTTCTGTTTTTGATATTTTTTGTTTATTGAAATTTGGTAGAAATAATTATAATCTTCATCATAAAAAAATCTAATACTTTTATTTATAAGAATAAAAGTTATGTGTCACATTTTTATAAATGATTGATTAAAAAAATAGAATATAACTTTATTTATAAAAATTAATCTTGCGTATGCACTTGTATATGTGTGATTAAAATTTATAAAAAAAAATTATGTATTAAAATTGAATATTGCTATATTTAGAAAGGTGTGAGATTAAAATTAAAATAAAAAATACATTTTTTATAAACTAAAATCAAGTTTTATTGTATTAAGAAAGATTAATTTGTGTATCATAGTTTTATATAGCTTTAGCATTTAAATTTAATTCTTAAATTGACATATTCTAATTATAATTGTATAAAATAATATGTAAGATATATAAATTCATTTTATTTTATTATCTTTGAATTGTTTTCAATTAAAAAAATCTTGGTAAATATTGACATATATCTATACAATTAATATGGTCCTGTCCTATTAATATTCCTAATATAAATCCTAATAAGCTATGCTATAGCCATCAAAAATTCGGAAGGTGGGGGCTGACATGTTTGTTTGAAATGCAACCTTATATAAGCCCATTATATGTTTCGGGTTTAAGGCACAAAATATGGCGTTTCTAATTGGTGAGCCTAATTCATTTCTTGGGCTGTAGTTCATTGGACATAAATTCATGGGCAGACTCAAAGAATATATTTGGGTAGCTTTTTTTTAACATAAAATATATTTAGGTAATTAGAAAGATGTATATTTATGGCTAAATTATATATATATATATA